TAAATCTATACTTGAATGTTACATCCAAAAAGGAGGGCATTGACTACAAGGAAACATTCTCTCTCGTTTTTAAGAATGATTCCTTGAGAATTGTAATGGTGATAGTGGCTCTATATGATGTGGAGCTTTATCAAATGGACATAAAGATCACCTTCTAAATGATAAACTTAAAAGGAGATCTACATGAACTAATTAAAAGATTTTGAGATCACAAGAATGAAATGTTAGTGTGTAAGTTGAATAGATCGATATATGGACTAAAACAAGTCTCTCGTCAATGGTATCTTAAGTTTAATGATATCATCACTGCTTATGGTATTATAGAGAATACCGTAGACCGGTGTATCTATATTAAGGTTAGTGGGAGTAGATTTGTTAATTTAGTTCCGTATGTCGATAACATATTTATAGTTGCTAATAATGTGAACATGTTGCACGAATGAAAGTATTATCTCTCTGAAAATTATGAAATAAAGAATGTGGATGAAACGTGCTTGGTAATTGGAATAGAAATATTCTGGAATATATCACTAGGACTAAAAGTTTATCCCATTAAAGTTTTATTTGAGAGGTAATGGATGGTTGTTCCGTATAATTTCATTCATAAAAGGGACATATTTAGTTTAAATAAATGTCTGAAGGCGAAATGGAATGAAAAGTGATGGAGAAAATTCCTTAGATATAAATGATTAGGAGTCTTAAGCGAGACGAACCTGTATTTGGTTTGATAACATATTTCTTGTTGGTAAGTTAAGCAAATATAAAAGTAATCCCTGAAGGATTATTTAAATGCTGCAAATGAAATTTTAAAGTATTTACAAGACATTAAAGAACACATGCTAACTTAAAGAATATCCAAATTATTTGTTATAATTGGATACTCGGATTCAGACTTTTGCTCATAATGTCTAAAGAAGCAAGATTATAGAAAAGTGGAACAAAGTCCATCATCGTGACTTCCACGATTAAGTTTGAGTTTGTGGTATGCTTTGAGGCCACAAATAAAAATTTAGGGCTACAATGCTTTATCTTAGGACTTGGAAATGTCGACATCTTGTCCAAGCCGCTAAGAATTAACGTAGTTTTGTAGCAATAATATTTCAAGGAAATGACAAGTATTCAAAGAGTGTGAATCACATAAAATTTAAATACTTGGTCGTAAAAGTAGAAGTGAAGAAACAAAGTGTCATTTGAGTATTTTAGTACTAATTGCATGAAAGTGGATCCATTAAAGGGTTATTCCCTATAGCCGTTGCAAGTCATATAAAGAAAATTGGGAATAACGAATGAGGCCTTGTTGGACTGACCGATACTGAATGGAATTGCTCAATTAATGGTTTTAACACTTATTGAATTCGATTACAGATGTTTTATTCTTCACATATAATACCATCATTATGGATATTTGATTTTATAGTATATACATAAAAGTTAGATGGCTTATGGTTATGGTACGAATGGTTTGTTCCATATTAAAATAAATTGAATTAGAAATGATTTGTGGTACATGGAAGGGATCATGTCGCTCGAAGACTTGTGACCGCCATGACTCGGTTAATTTCTAGTTTGATTTTGAACTTATAGATATATGTATTCAATTATAAGTTTGATGAAAGGTGCGCGCTTAAAGTAGTTCTTTGGGTTTCGACATTTATATGGTCCAAGTGGGAGAATGTAATAATATTTTATATATTATTCTATTATTGTGGACCATATAATTAGTTGGACCTAATTGAATTAATAGTCAAACTTTATTAAAGATGAATATGTATTTAATAGATTATTTAATGTTCTAATATTAAAGAGTCCAATGTGTGATGTTTAACTTGGACATTAAGTTACTTTAGAACATGGGGAATGGTAGTATGATTAGGATTCTAAGTCTTCTCCTCCTATATATACTACATACCTCTCTCTCCCATCTCATACGAAATAAAGTTCTCAACATCAAGGGCTTTATGGAAAGACGAGAGACGAGGGAGAGAGAAACAATTAATTCATAGGGAAAGACAAATCGATCATTGGAGATTAAAGGAAGATGACTGGAGATTCGAGAAAGATCAACATCATAGATGAACAGGGAAGGACTATAGCTGAATTCTTGTAAGTTTCTATGTGCAATTTAATACATGCAAAGATCCATATTCTATGAATTAATAGAATTACATGCTTAGGGTTTATTCAATTCCGCCTAATAGTTATGGATATACCCGTTAAATTTCTTACATGAATCTCAAATACTGCAATTAGATTGTGAAAAAATAAGCACATTCAAATGTCAACACATATTGTACCCAAAAAAAAAAAAAAAAAAAAAATGTTTTTAAACGTAAATCGATGTATTAGTTAGTGGCATTTCCCATAACGAAGACCAATTTCGTCCAAATGAAGGCACCCCAAAAAAATAGGTGAAGTGGAATTTTGATTGTTAGTTAATTATTATTGAAATTAACCTGTCGATACTTAGACCTGTCTATAGCTCGTCTGGTTCACGACCCGGCCCGGCTCGCCGGGT